CCCCCCCCGTCTGTCTGTCCACAATCCCACAGCTTACAAGTGGAAATGTCATTTGTTTCTCAGACATGTAAGAGTTGTTGTGAAACACAAAAACTCAAGAGGACAACATCACACAAGTGTAATTTCTCCCAAATATTCACGCATTTCCTTGTCAGTATTTTGTAGGTATGGTGCCATTCCACAGTTGCAGGGTTTCTGACCAAATGTATGAAAGCCCATAGGGGACCTTATGAAAATGTAAATGTAATTCTAATTTGTTTTTCACATTTTTGTTCTCGTTTTATATGAAATAATCAAGAAGTGGAAATTGTACACGGCAGGACATTTGTTAAAATAAACCTCAACATTTGCGCCACACATTTCTGCCTAGCAACGGCTGTTGCTTAGTGTCTTTTGATAAGCAGAGTGCCAGATAACGAGCTAGAGATAGATTTGATGGATAGATGCAGACACGAGTGCATTCCTTACTGCACGCGTTAGACAAAGCATGCATAATCTCCATCGTGATATAAACATGATACCAACCAAACTATTTGTACCTAATGTTCTTTATCTGCAGTAAGTCAATTAGTTAACATATTTGTTTTGTTTTTTGTTGTATCCCTTGGTTCATTGAATTAAAATTATAGGCCCATCTGATATGTTTGATCTGTTATTAAATAAAGTTGAGTAACTGTAAACAACAACACAAAACCTAATAAACTGAATTGAAATAGTTATTTTTTAAACTTGTAATTATTAAAACTATTTAACATTTTTACAGCTTGACTGTTTCGGACAGGGTGTAAAAATGCCCCTCCCCCCTCCCTGGAAGTTGTAGTGGAATGAAATATTGAGGCTTGTTGTCATTGTTGTTGTTGTTGTTAAAGCCCAGTGAACAATATTTCAAACATAGAGCTAATTGTATTTGATTTAGGGGGAAAAGTCACATATGCGATTGAGTAGGGGAACGATGGATTTGAGCTGTCTTTCTGAACAGAAAGGGAAAGGAAAGGGCGAAAGTCAGACAGAGTAAAACAGAGAGGATCTCAGATTCCCACGAAGAAAATGGAGAGAAAACCACAAGTGAAAAACAAATCCCCGTACAAACCCGTTAGAGGGAATGCAGTAAGACAGCGTCGAGCAATTAGTCCTCGAGCATGTTTTAAGAGCATCAGAAAGACAGTCAATGTCAGCAAAGACAGAATGGTACTTGATGGCTTTGTTCTGCTGGTGATAACCATCTAACTGTTTTCACTGCAGGCGTCATGTCTCAGATTCCTGCGAAGCTGCAAAGACACTCATAATGTTCTCAGATACAGTTGTAGCAATTTAAATCATTAAAAAGTCATGTGTTTCCATGACATTTAAAACAGGGAAATTCAGCTTTAGGTCATGATTGTAGTTTAATTAGAATCTATTTGACTGCAGTATAATGCACCCGTTAATACGGTTTACTTGCAGTCATGCACTTTTTATATGCTTGTAACGTCTATCATTTGTTATTAGAAATTTAACTCACTCTAGTCGCTGAATATCTTTTAGATTTAGATTCATAATTTGGTCTAGGGATGTCAGGACATCGGACACAATATCAATTTAATAATTGAATACTGAAAATGTGAACATACTGGCTTTTCACTTAAAGGTGGGGTAGGTCATTTTGGAGAAACCAGCTCGAGTGCGCTAGAATTTGAAAATACACAAAAGTTTGTGCACAGATGGAAGGCTGACAGGCAGGTAGGCCATCCAGTTATTTTAACCGGGCCGGCTCAGATGATTGGCCGTGCTTTTTACAGCGCTACGGCTTCCACAGATGATATTTTTATTAATGTATTTATTGTCAAAGTACTTAATATATTCATTGCTATCGGGATGTTAAGAGCATTCCATGGAATATAACAACAAGTGTTTATGAAGTGAATTACATACCCCACCTTTAAGCATTGCAGTCAAATTGTATTTGCAACTACCTTTGTAGAAGTTACATTTTATCGTAACTTATAAACTGAATGTTTAATTGCATCGTATCAATAATACTATTCTTTCTTTTTTGTATCTCTTTCTTTTTAAAAGGGCGGCAATTTTTCTACAGAAAAGTTAAATTTTCATCTATAAAAAATGATGTGATAAGGAAAATGCTTGAACAAACGTAACTAAATTGTGAACACATTGCATAGCACATTACACTTCACTGGTTTCCTGTTAACCCACATCAAAGTGAACAAAAGTGTATTAAAAAACCCAGTAGTAACTGCTCTTCTTTAATTGCTTTTCAAGTACAAATTAACTTTACATAAGGGTTTATATAAAAGTGAGATTTACAAGATTTCTCATAATTTACCTGTAGCTCCTCAGTGAAGCGTGATTTTAGGACGTGATCTTCTATCAGCTCTCGTAGTTTGTCTGGAGAAGCAGGGAAGTCCTCTCTGTTTCTCTGGAACTCTGGAAGCTTTAGAGAAAGAGAAACCGACTGAGTATGCTATCAACTTTCACCACAGTAACCCTCATACAGTCAATCTGCCAACTATTTCCCAATCAGCAGCAACCAAACACTGCAGGGATCCTATTGGCTGTCGATGAAGTGATGCTTCTTTAAACATTATCTACTCAATCTCTATTCTAAATGTGCACTTTGGTTGTAGACCTTAAGCAGAAGGACATTCTGCAAATAGTTTTTGAGCAGGTGAAGATCGTTAATCAGGACTAAGGCAACACCCAGCTAGCATGATCCTCCTCTGGTTCTGAAACAAACCCTTTCATTGGTGAGGAATGGAGACAAACAGGTAGGATCACTCTCCAGACTAAAATATGTTCACGTGAGCAGCTCAAGGAATTACTGTAAATGTCCTGAATACAAATACACAGCTGTTTCCAGACACAAAACACAACAGTGGACCAAAGTTTGTCAGGAGAATCAGACGGACAGAGGAATCTGATTGGACAAATAAAGTCCGGAAAGTTTGAAGAACAATTAAGTGAAATTAGGATACTGAGTGTGGTTGAAAAACATCACAGAAGTACTTTTCGTGTTAGTAAGTGACTATGTTCGCCCTCTTAGATTTCCGTAGCTTCTTCTCTAATCATTGTTTTGTTGTATTGAAATGTCTGTAATCGTTGTTATTTGCACTGAATATCATTTATGTCTGTTCTATTGACCAATAAGCATTTGGTGATAAATGCTCAGTATATTAAAATGAGATGAACTTGAATAATGTCTTTGTTCCTTTCAGGATTAAAAGCTCTATCAGAGCCACATTACACATCATTAAACGGAGGAATAGACCTGATGAATGCTCGTCAATTATTCAAATATTTCAATTGGAGGTCTGTGCTCTTCGAATGCCATTCTAGTTGTATTATCTTACTGGTTGAACAACTTGAAAATAAATAATTAGCCAACAGGGCCATTGGTGCATGCAGGTACATTTCCTGCGTATGGAAGTATTTTCTTTGTGGGGTGTTCTTGAACGTTAAGTAACTGTTCAAGTGTTAAGCAACAAATAGGGTTTTTTAGAAAGTAAGCTTGCTTTAGCAGACAACATTTCCATTAAACCCCAAGCCATGGCAGGTGAATCGACGCAGTTCAACAAAAGATATGAGTTGAGAGTGGCCATGTTTACTTAAGAAAAGTCATCTAAGTCTTCATTGAGACTGCAATTTGTTAATAGGGTTGAAGTCATTGTTTAAAACTGAAGCAACAATAGGTTTGACCTTCAAAGTTTAAAATCTCCAATGTTTCGGATGAATTTGTACAAAAAAAAAAGTTAAGTTAGAAAACCCTAAATATGTCTTATTTTTGAAGCAAAATAATATCAACTGCCAAATGTTTACATTGGTTTGAGCTGCTAAATGTTAAAGTACGCCATCATAAATGTTCAATAATGTTCTGAGGTGTTGCTAACCACAATACAAGTCGTCCTACTGAACAGACTCTTCCCACCCACCACTGTGTAAACACACCACAGAGTGCCATTGTGAGACTAAGCTCAAGTGGCTCATATGTATGTGTTCATCTTAAAGGAAGGAATCAATCTTCATGCATATATATAAAAAACTACAGATGGACAGCAGGCAATTAATTCCCTTACTCTCCATATGAGTGTATGCATTCACAACATGAGTGGGCTGGGTGCTCGTGACACACTGGATCTATGTTGTCTGATTAAACGCAATCAAAACAAGTCCATTGTTTTTTAATCCCTCTGAGAATGATGACATGCCTCGACAGGAGCAGAGAGGAATGTCTCGTTGTTGAAAGGATGATGGAGGTAAGATAAACAAATCTCTAAATATACAGTATTTCAGAAGCATCTGACATTCTAGACCCAACAAAGTCATTTTTTCAAAAGAAATCTCGTTATAAAGTATAAGAGTGCCTTAAGAATGTGGGATGCTATAATTTATCTCCTGGTAACTTTCCAACCCTTTAAATTATGTTTATATACTGCTCATTTGTTTTCTAAATTACATTTACCAGCAAACCATAATTGGGAAAACAAATTAGTCGTATATGGATGTCATTTCTCGGAGACTGACAGTATAAAATCTGAATCAGAATATCTTTATCGTCATCAGACATAGGTATAACTAAATGTTGTTGGCATCGTTGGCAAAACATTTAGGCAATTAAAGATATTAAACACTTCTGTACAAATGTTTTCAATAATTCATCCCTTCTTTATTATTGGTAACCACAGTTAGAAAACAAATTTCCTTTAGCAAACACCATTTCCCAGAAGCCCTAGACGGTTATGAGCGAATCGTGGAAGTTCGACCTAAGACACAACTAGAACGTAACCATATTTACTCTTTGCAAAATATCAGCAGGACCATAAAGCAGTTCTGATTGCAAAAGTTACAGCTAAACCATTTTATATGGTTACGGACGAAACAAAGTTACGAGAAAGTACCTGCGCTTGAACGTTGTCATGGGAGCTGTAGTTTTCTGACTACTTCTTGTGACCGTATGTGTTGTTTCTTACAGGCGTTGACCCAGGGTGAATTTAGCTGATTATCTAAGTTTAAAACGCCATGACTAATAACTTTAACATTGCATAACTTGTCCCCACTTTACTAAACGCTTACACAATTAAATTGTTCAAATGTGCAAAAGCTGTTACCTGGTATGTGCATGCCTCAACGCATTAATGCAATTACACATAAAAAACTACACAAACTCTTGCCCTGTAACATGGTGTCAGCCAAAGGGTAGAGAATTTCAGCTAAAAAAAGCAAGTCATCCAAATCCCAGCCAAAACAACACCAACTTCATCATTATGCCAAAACTACCAAAATTATCTAAGTTTAAAACGCCATGACTAATAACTTTAACATTACATAACTTGTCCCCACTTTACTAGAGGCCTACGCAATTAAATTGTTGAAATGTGCAAAAGCTGTTACCTGGTACTTGCATGCCTCAACGCATCAATGCAATTACACATAAAAAACTTCACAAACTCTTGCTCTTTGTCATCGTGTCAGCCAAAGAAAGGGAAGAGCATTTCAGCTGAAAAAAGCAAGTCATCCAAATCCCATCCAAAACAACTTCATCATTATGTCGAAACTACCAATCAAATCTAAACATCACAATGCTTCTTTATTAAATAGTAGAACAAGTAAATTACTTTTCTTACAATAATATTACAAAGGAAAATGTTAGACCGTTTTTAACTAAGGCTTTAAAAAGATTATGTTTTAAAACAAGAACATTTATCAAAAGTAATAATATGCCTTAAAAATAATGTTAAGCTAGCTAAGGTGCTGCACTTAGCTATAGCTAAACACACTAGCTGCTATAAGCTTTGTTACTTGTCTTTAATAAATAAAGTTAAATCGAACTTCTTCAATATAAAGATTTTAAAAGTTAGCTGACTGACCAAAAGATCTGTTATCAAGCTAGCAGTAAAGCTATAGAGAAGACTCTTTCCCTCACTGTTTTGAAGGCAATTAAATAGCTTCTTAGCTACAATGTTCTAAAAAGTACTCACTGCAGGTCTTGGAGAGAGAGAAGTATTCATGATGACAGACAGACAGACTAAAAACTAATTTCCTGACTGAGCTCAAACTACAGGGGGTTCGTGTGTGTGTGTGTGTGTGTGTGTGTGTGTGTGTGTGTGTGTGTGTGTGTGTGTGTGTGTGTGTGTGTGTGTGTGTGTGTGTGTGTGTGTGTGTGTGCTTGTGGGTGGGCCGCAGTACTGTGTACATGCAGATGACCCTAACTACAACCTCAAACTGACCACAATGGACAAGCAGAGTGAGAGAATGTGAGTTTGTTAGTTAATATCTGTCTAGGTTTCCTGTGCCCGATTGATCAGTGTACTCAGCCTCTCGTGTGTGTGTGTGTGTGTGTGTGTGTGTGTGTGTGTGTGTGTGTGTGTGTGTGTGTGTGTGTGTGTGTGTGTGTGTGTGTGTTACACAGTGTAGGAAACATCACCTATTAATGAAGAGAGGAGACCTTTATCCCTGGCCTACAATAATTAGCTGATAAAATGGCGTTATTACTTTAGTAGAGGAAAGTAGCATGTAAAGTCTAACATACTAAACAAAGTGAACACCAAACTTAAGATATGACTACATGTGGGAAAATAATGAGTCTCAATTCCAGACTATTTTCAAAACAGTCCATCTGGGGATCTTTGGCGACCACAATGTTGAAAAGGAAGCTCAATATAAACGCACTGACATGATGGGAAACCAGTCGTCAAGTCCAGTCAAGTTGCGCGCTCTGCAATAATACACTATGACTAAACCTGAGGTTGGGTTTGATCAAAGAATTCAAATCTCTATCCCCCCCCCCCATCCAAGTCACAAGAGTCCTTCTTCCCACTCAGGGTGTGTCAGGGTGGAGCCCGATGACTGTGGAAGGACGCCAACTCACACACACCTTGATAAGCTGGCTGGTATGGAAGCATGTCTGCAGCTCTCTGTTCCTTTTTGTTGACTTTGTTCTGTTCATGCCTTGTGTCTGTCTCTTTACGACACACACCCACACACACACACACACACACCCCCACCCACACACACACACACACACACACCCCCCCCCACACACACACACACACACACACACACACACACACACACACACACACACACACACACACACACACACACACACACACACACACACACACACACACACACACACACACACACACACACACACACACACACACACACACACTATAAGCTAAAAAAGCCTCAAATGCTCTGTAGAACTGCAGATTTGGTTATCTGGTTATTTGTGTTCAAGTAATTTGTTTTTGTTTAACAACAGAAGGGAGTGGACTTATATAATAAAGAAAAAGAGACGCACAAGATTATAAAAAAGTTGCCGTAGTTTAGATGTAAGTGAATGTATGAAAGTATTAAAAGGAGCCGGTAATGTTAACAAGTTATTAATACAAATACACAATTGTGTAAATTGCAGATTGCATAGACTTATTC